AAGATAAAACGATGAAATGTAGAACACAAGAAAAGATTCGTTGTGACACAGTATTTCAAGTAACATTTTAGAAATCGAAAAGAATATCGTCAAAACTCTTCTCTTTCAGATGATGTAAAAACCAGTAGAAACTTGTATTTTATGAGAAAAGTCGTTTTAAGAAATTCAATAGTTATTAAATATATTAAATTTTTCTATTAATGATTTACTCATTTTTATTTGAAAATGCAAGAGAATAAATATACGTGAAAGGTAAAAAATTGTTGCTACCAATATTTCATTTAATAAAAATTAATACTATGTTGTAATTCGACCATATTGACATTATGATTGAAATTAGCCAATAATGAAGAAACAATGAGTTTTATTTATTATAGAAAAATCATTCAGATACTTCGGACACTTACCAACATCGATTAAAATGTTACTCCAGACACGTTATATGAATTAAGTAATTAATTTTTGTTTCAATATGTTCACGTGAATTTATTATTTAATGTGAAGAAAACTTTATTAATCCTATGTAACTATAATTGAAAATATAGTAAACTTTAAAAACAATATTTTTATCACCATCATTTAAACTACTATAAAACTAATTGTTATGATAAAAGGTAGCATTATACAAATGAATGACTTACTGCGTAAGTGACCATCGTATAAGCAACAATTTAAAAATAGAATTTTAAATATATCATAAAATCAATTAAAATGTCTAAATTATTATTTCTTATATTCTCCGATATAATATAAATAAATTTTAATTCGACAAGCATGAAATACTCAAGAGGAAATCAAAGATTAATTTTACTTGTGCAATTCTTTTATTAATGAAAAAAGTTTTTATTAAATTGTTTCTGTAGAATTTAAATTGTTGCAATGGTTTAAATTTCTTAAAAATTAATGTTTATAATGAAAAAATGTTAATTAATATCCTTCAAATCATATATGCAATACCAAAATATGTAATAATCATAATTATGTTCAAAAGAAAATGAAACATAGCTTGAAAGTGACTTAAAACATTATTAGTCACTAATTACAAAATATTGCATAAATGTCTGTCTTATTTTTTTTGGACTTACGTATTAGATAAACATTCAGTTGTCAACTTTTACAATACCATAAATTATAGCTTGCATATATATAGCTAAATATTATCTTTAATTTTTTTAAGAAACTACATTCACTTCTTTAAATTCAAGCAAATTTTAATATTTTTTTCATATAAAAATTAATGTTTGTATAAGACTTGTACATAGTATAAGATTTTTAGAAATTATTATACGTACCCACTCCAGTTCTTTTACTGACAAGACTTTATAACTTAAGAAAAATTATATAAAATAGAAAGTTTGCGTTAGAAATAAGATTATCTTTAAAGAAAAGAAACAACATAACATTCCTGATGGACAAACTTCCAAACTCAACTCATTAAATAAAAAATATTATCCTTTATTACATTCTTTATCAAGTACATTATATTATTTCATGTTTAGTGAATAGAGGAAAATGAAAACTAATATTTATAATTTTCTTTCCTTATAAGGATTCATTCACAATTCTTTTCATAAAAAGAAAAACAATAATGGCTTATATAACACGATACGTGAGAGTGATTTTTATGACTACATTATTAGTAGTTAGCTCTTACAATATTCCTCACGCTTAGGTCAAGAGAATTCCTACTTCTATACGCTTTGCTGAATGTACCCATGTTTTTGTGACATTTCATTTTTATTTCAATTTTTATTATCTATTTTCTTTAAAATAATTGGATTCGGTCAATATCGAATTTCAAATTTCTCAAAGTATTAATAAAATATAACAACAAAAATTTTAAGCGATGATCTAAGCTTTAAAGCCTAGCACTCATTTCGTTAATATTGAACAGTTCCTTTAACGTATAGTAATCAGAGTTAAAGAAAGAATATTGAATATGTATTATTTCAACCATGAACCAAGTCTAGCGAATTTATTGATTTATATTTCTTTTACATTTGAGACGGTGCTCGGTCAGGTTTACTATAAATGGAGAAACTATAACGCCAACTGCATGCATAAATTTCTACTAATTAATAATTAATAATTAATAATTTGTCGATTAAATAGTTTTGATAGTTTGTTACTTAATCATATAATTCTTATTTTATAATTAACAATCTTCTGATTCGAAAGCAATGTTATAAATTTATTTGGATTAACTGTCTTACCTGAAACAATGATTATTTTTGAATTTGTTTTAAGTGACTTAATAACAAGTACAATACAGCCGACATCTGTGCAGAATATTTTCATGCGTTAATAAGTATAAAGCTATTTTAATTTTTAATTAAATTATAAAAATTAGAGAATTTAATCATTTATATTTTTTACATACACCGATCAGGTAAAATTTCTATTCAATGGATCAAATTGAATAAATTTATTCAGAGATTAAGAAAAGAAAAAAGAAAGAAAAAAGCATTACCCTCTTTGAATGTATATAGTACAATTTTTTCATTGCATACTTTTGCCATTCGGAACTAATGCACTTAATATGGAAACATAAAATTAGAATCGAGAATATAAAATATTCATATTAATAGCAATGCTTATGTTTAATATTATGTATGTGGTGACTTATAATGTATACTTCTATAGACTTATGTGACTAATTTCAAATAGTTTTTATAAACTTGCTTTTAAAGAAAATATGATATAAAATATTATATATAATAGAATATTATAGATTCTAATATAATATTATATAAATATAATATAATATTATATAAATATAATATTTTAATATATATATATATATATATATATATATATATATATATATATTAAAATATTATATTTATATAATATTATATTAGAATCTATAATTTTCATACTAAAAAAAAATACATCGATATACGACTATCATTTATGATGTCCCAAGTAATGATTAGATTATTAAAATTAATTCATTTTAGTAAGAAAATATTAAGAAAAAAAATAAAGTTATACCTAAATGCTTGTTTTGTTGTTTGAATTTTATTTTTGATTACTTTTGTAACCATATTATCTTTTCTGAATAATAACAAAAACTTGAGTTGTCCTAATATATACGTAAAGGAAATAAAATATGTTTTTATTGTATACTGCCCATAATATTGAAATAACCACAATTTAAATTGAAATTATTAGACTCCAATTTATCAAAGCTAATTTCCTTTTTATGTTCCTAGCCTCTATTAAATGAATGTTTCCTTATTCTCTCTCAAGAACTTAATATTTTAATTTCCGTGTAAATATACATTTGTTATATTTAATAATTAACAAAAAAAATATTAAAACTGCAATTGAAAATTGTATAAGCAGCAATTTTATAGAAAATATGCTTCAGAGATTTAAATGGGTTCGTTGGCAAATCGAAATTTGTTGAGCCGTTGAATCCGTCTTACACCGGAAATGAAAAAATAGCATCGTGTTTATATGTTGTTTAACCCTATATCTCATTAAATTTATCGACTAAAGTAGGAAAAAATCTAACATATACATAAACATGTGTAGATAGACGAATATTACCTAATACAGTTACTCGAGATAATTATCAGTAAAAGGATGTAAGGCTCCGTCAAGTTACGACTGTCTACGAGTTTACTAAGCAACTTACTCACACGACCTCGAAATGAAATGGCTGTAATTAATGTCCCTAAAATACGTTTCATAGAAATAACAATTCCATCGTGGGGATGATTCGAGATTATGACCATAAGCGACTACGTCCACGACGACGGATCCTTTTGAAACCGCAATTTTAACGGTTCGCAGGAAAGAATTTTCAATCGCCACAATGGTTCCGTAATCGATAGTGTCAGGGATGGAGGTGGAGGGGCGAAGCGCGTCGATGTGTATTTCACTTTCAATCGGCGGCGCGACCGCGGGAAGGGAAAGCCGCGAACTACCGGAGGATAAAGAGGATGGCGGCCGGGGGAAGCATCCAGTGCAGTCGGGATAATACTACCGGCATTGCAGTGCGCTACCGGTACAATGCGATTTTCGGTAAGACACGGCACTGTTGGCCTGCCAACGAACAGAGTTGTGACTCTATCATTTACCTGTTATTTTTACTCCCTTTATTCCACTAATCGTTTGTGCGAGTATTCGGCAATTTCATTTCCACTGCATTTGATTGGCTAAATGTGATTAAGGACAGTGATAACTTCGGAAGTGTATTTGAGGGAGCTACGAGTGCGCATCGATTTTTGGTTGGAAAACCAATGCAGGGAGATCATTTTTATTTGCCTCCAGTGCTAGCTGCAATTTTCTACACACCCTAGACGATAATTGTACATTTTGTGAATCGCAAGATATAAAAATATCAAAAATCATTTAAGCAGAACAATTCAATTTTTGGCATTTGAAAATGAACCGATAACTTAATTTGTTTAAAATTTCGTTAAAATCCAATTAAAATTCTAGCATTCTCTGTACCGAACGAGAATTAAAATAATGGATTGAGTACAAAGTATCTAATGACAAAATTAACAATTTACTATTACTTTTATTTAAAATTGTTAAGGATCAAATTTTAATCTTATATCTCATAAATACAGTTTATTTCATCATTATAATTAGTCTTTAATTTTAAGATACTTTCATTGTTTACAATTCAAAGGATGCGATATTTAATAATTTTATAATTTTACAAATGTTCGTTACCTAGAAAACTATATATTCGTGTAATTCTTAAAAATATGAAATCAATCAGAATATCGCCATTATGATCATTTATGTTATTTTATATAAATATTTAGATTATTATGAAATAAGAGATCCATACGATAATGATGTCTATAATTTTACGCATTTAAGTCACGTATTAAACCTAAACAAAATTTAAATTACATTTAATGAAATAGTAATATGGTTAATCCTATTACCGGCTCTTCAATTAATTTTTTGTATTCAAATATACATATTAATATCAAAATATTATATTTCCCTTTCGATAGATAGCGTATCCAAATATGCAATTATACGTAATATCAAATAACAGTTCACTTCCTAATACATTGTCTCTTGATAGTCAATTAACATCTAATCTAATTGAATAAATGATTCTATTTTCAGACAGCTCTTCTCTTCCTAAGCCTTTTGGCTGTTGGGTTTAGTAAGCAAGTGAACCAAGATACGGCACATGAGGAGCCGAAGGGAGCAGTCACCGAGGAAGAACAAAAGGGGGAAAATACCGATTCCTCCGATAAAAACCAAAACAAGCGCGGGCTGTTTGGTCTAGAGGGCGACTTCGGTCAAGATATTTTTAGCGGTGGTTACGGTGGTCACCACCAATCGATTGGACATGAATTAGGCGGCATCCAGGAATCAAACGATGGCCACGAGTTCAGTGGCTACGACTTCGCCGGACACGAGATCAGTAGCGGTCAAGAACAAGGTCCACATCATATCGAACCCCATCACGATCATCATAGTCATAGTAAAATAAAGCAGATCACAATTGAAAAAACGGTAAAGGTGCCGTACCCGGTCGAAAAGCATGTGCCCGTGCCAGTCGAGAAGGAAGTACGGTATCCTGTTAAGGTGCCCGTGCCTGCTCCATACCCAGTAGAGAAAAAGATTCCCGTTCCGGTAAAGGTCCCTGTCAAAGTCCCAGTCCATATACCCGCGCCATACCCCGTCGAGAAAAAAGTCTATTACCCAGTCCATGTACCTGTCGACCGTCCAGTGCCACACAAGGTTTATATTCCTGCACCTTACCCCGTCGAAAAGAAAATCCACTATACGGTAAAGGTTCCAGTACCCCAGCCCTATCCAATATATAAGCACATACATTACCCCGTGAAGATTCAAGTTCATGTACCGCAACCTTACCCCGTGATAAAGAATATCCCGGTGCCGGTAAAGGTGCACGTGGATAAACCAGTTCCATACCACGTTGAAAAGCCGTATCCCGTCCCAGTGGAGAAGAAGGTGCCGTACCCGGTGGAGAAGGTCATTCACTACCCAGTGAAGATTCACGTCGACAAGCCCATACCAGTCCCCGTCGAAAAGCCTGTGCCGTATGAGGTTAAGGTTCCCGTGCCCGCCCCATATCCCGTTGAGAAGAAAGTACCCTATCCAGTGGAAAAGGAGGTACCGTATCCAGTAAAGGTACCAGTAGATAGGCCGGTACCCATTCACATAGAGAAGAAGGTCCCGTATACGGTTCACAAGCCCGTGCCTTACCCAGTTAAAGTACCGGTACCTGTACCTGTGCATGACCACCATCACCACTACCACGAGAACCATCACGGGCATAACGAGGCTGGTGAGCAGTATGATGCCTCGAGCTACGGCGAGGAGTACTCAGGGAATTCTCAGCAGTCCGAGCACCCCGGATATTGAGAAGGGCTAATAGCCGGGCTACCTCACCTATGACGGAACTCAACGATTTATTTGTATTTATATTCTTTGATAAAACGATCGAGTCATCGAGAGAAGCTTCTCGTATTCAATCAAAATACTAAATTTTCTAGGGATTTCATTAGGTATAATGGCTTGTTCCAAAGGGTTGTTGAGTAAGCCATGCAACGGAGAACAGTATTTAAAACCCAATTTATGGGGGTATGATGTTTATGTTATTAAACGGCACGAGATATTCTGATAAATCAGAATTTAGAACGCTCTAGTTAGTAAAACAAAATAATATGTCGATCAATGGATTTGACAATTTATTTATATCGAAATTATTAACTGGCAAACAAGCGTTTTGAATATTATTTTTGCATTTATAGCGTACGCTAGGTATATTATAATGCACATATTTAGAGAAAGTATTTCGAATAAAATTGTGTACCTATTCGAACAAGAGTAGGTGGAATATCAGAAAAAAATTAATTTCGAAATTTCAAATTTTTGTATTAGTTAAGAGCAATTACAGATTTGAATAAGAGGACAAAAAAAATACTATCGTAAATGTTTCGACATTTATATTTGTGATAGCTCAACATTTATGTTGCTCTAGAAAAATTTGTAATCTAGTAAATAAGTACGTATCTGTTTTAATTACAAAAATTAAACACACGTGTATTTTATATTTTTTTTTAGAAAATTTATATAGAAGTGCACCCATAGAAATATGAGTTTCTATCAATTATTAACCAATCAAAATTTTAGCTAATTATCACGGAAAACAGCTGAAAAAATCACATTTCTACAATGCATCTACATCTTTATGGAAATGTAATTCGAAATATGATTTATGGACTTACACATAAATAAATAAAAATCCTATTCGTAAATAATTTTATAAAGTCGTCTTGGGCATTGAAAAATGTAAACGAGTCGACGATAGTCTGACCATTAAGAAAGGTGCCCATTTAAGCGACATAGAGCGACACAGGCCGCTGGAGCTGTATTTTTGTACTCGATCTTTCATAATGTTTCCATCGTATATGAATTTACGATATCTATCTATCTATTATTATTTTTTATAATAAAATAACAACCAAAGAAAAAATTTATTGGTCAGTTTTGTTTTTGCGGTTTAATTCACGAAATACCTTTCCAATAAATTGATATTTATCACAGTCTGTATTTATTTTGGATGGCGAAGTCTAACTCAATCGGGTAAAAGTCGCCAGAGAGAAAGGAGCTGAGCCTTTACAACGTTAGAACATGTCCTGCCGTTCTAAATAAAGTCTCTAATGGAGCGCGCGCGTGCGCGATAATGAAATGAAATTATCGCGCAAAATTGGCTTAAACGTCCTACTATTAAATTCAAGAGTTTATATCTTTACCATGCGCGTACTTATGCCCTCTCTTGCCTTCTTTTTTCCTCTCTACACTCGCTCACGATTTAATGAAAATGGACAAAGGAACACGGCAATAGTAATTAAGTATTACGAGGATTTTATATTAATATTCTGGATTTCACTGGAGAACGAAACATGACGTACACCGTTCGTGATGTGAAATTATATAAAACTTGTCGAGCTATTTAATCTTCATTCATATGGAATAATCCATATGGAATAGTGTCTGCAAACTTCACGAATAAAATTTCAGGAATAATGAAAATGTAAATTATCATAAATATCGTAAAGATAAATTTTTTCAAAATTTATGATGCTCATAAACATACGCTATCAGTAATCAAAGATAAATTCTGCTTCACTAACACATTCTCGAAATTTAAAGTTCGCCGTGACTTTATTTAAATAAATATTATTTAAATGAATATTACATAAAATTAAAGCTTCCAATACAGTTTTGATAACTCTGAATTGAACATTAGAAAACTATTCTCTTACGTAACAATTATATTATTTGAATCGTTCTTAAGCATTTTGTTATTATATCTATTTGAAAAGTTTCATCCATCCATCACAATATATGATTAGACGGGAACACTTAAATAATTTTTATTAATACACCAATAATTGAATAATTTTATTTAACAATTAAATAAGTGCAATTCAAAATAAAACAAGATAAAAGTAGTACCTAATTTTCTCCACGGACAAAACTACATTTAATATAATGAGTTTCGACTGAAAAACCAGTTGGTACGTTGAAATTTATGTACGTAAAATGCCTCAAAATCAAATGAACCGAAGTGCGGGAAAGTGCATGAAAAAAATTGGACATGCCGTACAGTTGAAATGGAAAAAGAATTTATCTAATCACTTTTACGCGCTCGGGTATATAAAATATGCAATATGAAATTTCCACGGTACTTTAGCATCGTTTATTGCAAATCATATTATAAGTATATAATATAATATAATAATTGTTCAACCGAACTTCTCAATTTCCACGAAATTTTAATAAATCGTGTGCTTCCCAGAGATAGCTTGATTAAACGATTGTCAAAACGGAATTTTACAAGTCAAACTCTACTTGTACAATACATGTTTAGCGTACGTACCCTTTATTTTCACAGCTGCTAATAATTATCGAAGAAATCGCGTACATTCATACAATATATTAATATTATTAATAATCGAATTTTTTTTACTTTTACTTTTTTGAGGTCAATTTTTAATAAATGGTTGATTAAACTCTCTTAATGGAAATATTCACTTACTGTTATCTGTTTTGAGAGAAAAATGAAACCTACTTTATGTTGATAATCTATAGCTACATATGTATAGAATTGATTTCTTATTTGAATATTATGTATATAATATTTTACATTAAAGATACAGTGACATTAGTAGCGACAGTATTTTAAACCAATCATTCTTGGATTATAATTGTGCTGAATTATGAAAAATAAACGAAACTACAGTAAAATTAGTATAATTCTATATTTCAATTACACTGCTGTATGCTTATATTACGCAATACTTTCATTTAATGAACTCATAATAGTTAACATTATCGGCGATAAATTAGCAGCGACAAACAATATTGACACGATAAGGCCGCGTGCCCATTTTCATAATTTATTCGATTGACACTTCCGAAAGTTATGCATGAATTAAGTAACGCCAACAGAACTTTCACGGACATGATAAAACATGACTACGATTTATTTCTTTTCAGAGGCCATACAGAGGAATAAACTTTAGTTCGAGAATTTCACGTATTAAATAGCACATTTTCACCGCAGACTTTACCTCGATCGTTATCATATTAGAAATCTGGGCACGAATTTATCGTTCACTCATAGGATATGACCGACTCAGCTTCATTTCAATGATATATATACAAAACGCATGGGGCGGATACAAAAATGGGCGAATTTACTATTACTATCGCATTGAAAAAAAAGATTCAAGAAAATAAATGATTTTATATTGGATATCATAAAATCAAGTTCTGATTTTTTAATTTTTTTCTTAATTTTATTAAGTTGGTATTTTAAGCCTATAGTCCTCTTTAGTTGAATTATTATATACTTAATAATAATTCTTAGATTTTTTAGTATTAACTAATATTAGAAGAGTAGGTAGAATATATCCGTCATATCTGTGAAAAAATTACAAATAGCGGTAAATAACAATTAGATTCCTTACAAAGTTTTAATAATTTTTCTTTTAAATCATTAGGTTCATTTATGATATATCTACATTTTATATCTTACTAGACTACACATATAATACTCTAAATTTTAAATGAAAGAATATTGTTCTAGGATATATTTATAATATCAACTAAGTGAATAATATCTCATTTTGCCTTATTTGATTACGAATATACGTGAAATTTTATGAAATAGTAAAAGCTGTTTTATAATTTTAAAAATTAAGTTCGTTACACTTTCGTTTAATAATTTTAGCCTTATGATAATGTATACAGCACCCGATCATAATATATGAAATAACATCTCAGACTGTACACGTGATATTTAAATGATCTGAAATGTATTTACAAAACAGAATATGAAAGTAGAAAAAGTAAGCTTTCATTTGTGACATAAGACATTGGAAACGGTACTCGTTGTAGATCTTGAAACAGCTAAAATATGCAAAATAATAGCATTAAAAAGCATTAAAAATGAAACGAATTTTTTAATGTTTTACAAATTGCAATTAAAGTACTTATTTTTATTTAAAGCTCTACTTTCTTTTCTTTCAACATTCTATACATATTATAGAATGCTTACACATCAAGTTAGTAACTTTTATTGCATCCAATGAGACAAATAGTTGCGCGCAGCATCTTCATAAAAATGTTTGCTTGTACATTCCCCTCTCGAACCAATCGTGATTAAATTTCCATTGGGTGACCAAAAACAAAAAGTGCCCAAACGCTTTCCTTTAGAAACGTAGCCCAAGAAATCCGCGTTTCTCCTATTGTATACGCATGAGAAAGTATTCGATTTATTTTGTTTTTAAAACGAAGGAACAGAGTACCTTCGTCTCCGTAAGGTCGACAACCCGAAAAATGAAGTAAGAAGGAAAAAATGCCTGACCCAGACGATGAGCGCGCCAGGCCCCTCCAAAGGGAAGGAAGGGGCACAAGGTCGTTAGAGAAGAGGCCCCGGCCAAGGCCACGCATGCGCGCAGCAGAGGCCTTCGACACAAGACAGTGAAAGTCGCGCCGGGTAAAAGTATTCCGCAATGGCTCATCAAGGAAATGCGGAACTTCCGACAGAACAATGATATGATATGATGATGATATTCGCATACGTAAGACACACGGGTGTACTTCAGTGGATTTATCAGGATCGTATAGTCAATTCTTACGAGACTACTCCACCAATTTGATGATACGGCCGTATGATAATTCTCAAATAGAATATTTAAAAGTCTATCACTTTGGAAATATTGGCATTCAAGAAAAAAATAACTAATGCTTAGAGACATTGTGTACAAATTTACTAACAAACAAAATAAATCTAATTAAAAAATTATTAAGTAAGTTATGTAACTTTAAGGTCTATATAAATAGTCTCAATATTGATTTGTTTAAATCTTAAATGTCCATATCTCAATACAATATCAAGTCTGCAATATTTGCAAAACTCTTAGAACTTAACATCGAAAACAAAAATGTGATTACATGATCAAGATAATGAATGAATGTCGGTTATTACGGTTAACGTTGCAAACTTGGAAATGATTTAATTTCTTTAAATTATATGAAAGTTTGATTTATTATCAAGGAAATAGGTGGTTTGTCCATAAATTTTGTACAAAGCATTAATTTTACTATTTTTTTATGACATGTAAACGTTGAAATAAGTGGTAATTGAGATATTTACCTAGCAAATTC